CGGCTGGCGGCCCTTAATCGGTTCATTTCGAAATCCACGGACCATTGTAAATCATTTTTTGACGCTATCAAGAAGACGAAGCCGTTCGAATGGACCACGGAATGTCAAAATGCTTTTGACAACATTAAACAGGTTCTTTTGCAGTTACCAACCTTACAAAAGCCACTTCCCGACGAGCCACTCTATTTGTATCTCGGTCAGGTTCTTTTGCAGTTACCAACCTTACAAAAGCCACTTCCCGACGAGCCACTCTATTTGTATCTCGGTGTAAGTGATGTTGTCGTCAGTGCTGTCCTTATACGTCAAGACGAACTTCAACAGTTTCCAGTGTATTATGTTAGCAAGGCCCTGCATGACGCAGAGTTACGATACCCGCATATGGAGAAGCTCGCCTACGCTCTGATCATTGCTGCACGGAAATTGCGCCCATATTTTTTGGAGCATTCAATTGTTGTGTTCACGGCATATCCCCTCCGACAAATCCTTCATCGACCTGACACGTCGGGAAGAATGATCAAATGGGCCATTGAGTTGGGACAGTTCGATATACAATACCGGCCACGAACCGCTATCAAGGCCCAAGTATTGTCTGATTTCATCGCTAAATTTACCCCCGCTATTGATTCATCCATTAAAGATCCGACGTGGACTCTCTACATTGACGGTTCGTCTACTGCTATACGAGCCGGGGGGGAGTCGTCTTGATTAGTCCCGATCAACAAGTATTTTGTTACTCTGTGGCATTCATTTTTCCAGCCACCAATAACGAAGCCGAGTACGAGGCCCTCTTATCAGGATTGCACTTTGCCGAGTCCATGAATGTTTCTTCTCTTCGGATATTTTCCGATTCCCAATTACTAGTCAGTCACATCAACGGCACTTACGAAGTAAAGGAACCACGGCTGATTCCCTATTTTGATCTTGTCAAAAAGAAGCTAACACGATTCAAAGTGACGCTGGAACACATACCTCGGTCGTCTAACATCCAAGAGGACGCTCTTTCACGACTGGCTTCATCAACCGACTTGGATAACGTTGAATTTGTACA